CATGCTGAGCCTTCCAGATGGCATAGGAGTTCCTGGAGGCATCAAGAGTTTTCCCCACTCTAATGAACAGCAAGGCCTGAGTTTGAGTTTACTTGGATGAGGAAGGGCAGAATTGACTGGCCAGGGGATGGGAGCCTGGCAGGCCTTGTGGGGTGTGGAGGGAACCCTTACTGCCTGAGGAGAGAGTTTGAGGGGTTAAGGTGACCATCCCCAGTGTGAAGGGCTTGGTATTTGGACCAGAAAAGGTCCCCCGCATCTGAGAGTAGGTAATGGCCCCATCTGGGAAAGAATGTTTGGAAGAGGGGGCTGCACGTCTGGGCGAGGTCAGAGCCAGCGGGATTTCCTTCAGTTCTAGCCACTCTGGTGGGTGGGACCGGATTGCTCATTCTGGACACAGGAATCTGCCTTTGTTTCCAGCTGGAGGGGAAATGCCATAGATCCTGCCCCGTTCCCGCCCCTCCAGCATCCGTGCCCAGGCTCTGCCCTTCCCAGGACCAGAGGGCCTGGGACTGAGGGCCCTCAGCTGAGTGCTTATCTCCAGGATCCCCAAATCCACAGGCCTCTGCCCCTTGTCCCCCCAAAAGCAGGGCACTGGCATGGATGTAGGAAATAGGGGTCAGGGGTATCCAAGGCGGGTCTGGAGTAAACAGGAACAAAGAAAAAGTGCGGTTTACACTCGTTCACTGCTCTCCTTTCCCTTGGAGGGATCGTGGCTCTTCGCAGTTAAGGGGGACTTAAGGGCAGGACCTGGGCCCCCCTCAGCGGCCCAACTCCTGCTCAGATAGATGGACCCTGAAACTCCAACCATGGTCACACAGGCAGTTTTTGGAGCTAGATGTCTGGGGCAAAGGATGCAGTGTTGTGGGCAAAGGGGGCAGAGCAGGGCACAGGCCAGGAATCTAGGGAAGAGGGGCCCTGTTTTTACTTGTTCCCGGTCAGTGAATGTTTGTGCACCTGTGTGACCAAGTGTATATATGTGTGCCTGCATGTGAGGCCTTGCTGCGTGCAACTGAGTGTCTGTGGGCCAATGGGGCTGTGTAGATGTCTGTGCCCGTGAGCCCCTCGCTGACAGCTTGTCTGCATGTGTCTGTCTAACCATCTGGAGTAGAAGTTGGCAGGAGAGGGGGTGTTGAGGAGAGCCGAAGCCTTGTCCTCAAGCCCTCTTCTTCAGATCTGGGTATTTTCCTTAGCAATGAAAAGCCAAGGTCTCCCTGAGGGAAAGGAGAGAGGAGGGCAGATGGAAACTTCTGTATGAGCTGTGGGCAGATGGGTCTCTCTGGGCCTGACCAGCTGAGATCTGATAGGTGGAAGGTCCACACAGGCCAGGGTAAGGGTGTGCTGGCCTGGTTGTTGGTGTGGTGGAAGACACTGTGTGGTCCCAACCGTTTGGAAAGTGTGTCTGCTGGAGAGGGGCATCCTGTCCAGGTTCCCCAGTATGGAGAAAAGAGGACACAGACCAGTGAGTCCCCACCTGTCTTCTGTCCTCCCATATATATGTGCTCCCTTGCCTTCTCCTGGCAAGGGGTTTCCTAGGGCAGGCCCTGGAATGCCCACTGCCAGTCCATGGATAAGAGCAGCCCCTGAGAGAAGGTGGGAGATGATAGATGCCCCCTGAGCATCGGGACCTTAGAGGAGCCTGAACGAGGCTATTCCCTGTGCACATGTTTTGAGCTTGCAATGGGCCCCATGCTGAGCCATAGGCTAGTTATGCAGACATGGTCCCTGCCCACATGGGAGTGAGTAGGGTTCCCCTGGAGTCCCCACAAGCCTGGCTGACATCCCAGTGTGTGTTGGGACAGCCAACCCTGCAGTCCCAGGTGGAGAGCCCCCTGCCTGCCAGGTGGGGGGTGGACACGTGCACACTCCAGGAGCAGCCTCTCCAGCCGCCAGCGCTGCAGCGATGAGGTGGGCTGGGAGTGGGCCTAGGGTGGGGGAGGCAGAGATGTGTGTTTTCATTTCCTGGGCCACCAGAATAGTATCCTGGAATCACAGGGGAGGCCATGGGGCCCCAAGGACACACCCGCCAGCCTCCTCCACAGAGCTGCACCCTGGGCTGCTCCCTCACCTGCTGCTGCTCAGGTACAATCCCAGGCTGCTGTTGCCCCAGCGTGCCAGGTGATGCCCAATGCCTCTCACACCCCTCACTGCTCAGGCTACAGACAGTCCTGGGCAGCAGCGATTGTGGTCTCATCATCTGATGTCACACATGAGGTGACTCAGGCTGGGAGAGGCAGAGCCAGGACTGAAACCCAGGTGGGCCCAACTCCAAAGGCTTTGCCGTGGCCCACATTCTGCACGACCAGGGGCTTCACCATGGGTTTATTGGCCTCTGCTGACAGGGATGGAGTTCGGAAGCCTCAGGAGCTGTGATGACGGAGGGGGAGGCTGGGATGTTAGAGGAGAGGCTGACTTTGGGAAGCACAGGCAGAGCAAGTCCAGGCCTCGAGGCTTCTCTACCTCTGACGAGCCTGAAGGCGTCCTGGGAGGAGGAGGGAAGGCTATTGTCAGGACCTATTAGAGGATTAGAGAGAAATGGCTTGGCCTGGGAGGGGGAGTTGCTGGAGTGAAGTCCGGGGACTCTAGCTGTCCTGGAGACGGCCGGCCAGGGATTGGAGGGGTGGGTCTTCTCCAGGCGGAGAGGCTCCCTCTGCTGGAAAGCATGCTCCAACCTGGAACCCAGGAATTACCATGGGTTCCACCAGATCCACCCAGCCAGGATAGAAGGGCGAAGCGAACCACAGAGGGCTAGTTCCCTGGCCTTGGAGGTACGGTGTCACCCCTGGGCAGGTTGGAGGTGGAGGGAGATGCTCAAAGAATCCGAGCAGCCCTGACTGTAGGCAGATGCCAGGTGCTGCAGTGGAATGAGCACAGGCTTTGGAATCTCACAGATGAGCTTCAAGCACCGCTTTGCCACTTACCAACTAGTGACACTGGGCAAGTTGCCTAACCTTCATAGCCTCAATTTCCTCAACTGCAAAATAGGAAAGCTGTGCAGATTAAATAAGAAAATGGAGATCAGGCTGGGTGGCTTACGCCTGTAATCCCAGCACTTTGGGAGGCCGAGGTGGGCAGATCACCTGAGGTCAGGAGTTTGAGACCAGCCCGGCCAACATGGTGAAACCTCCTCTCTACTAAAAATACAAAAATTAGCCAGGCATAGTGGCACACGCCTGTAATCCCAGCTACCCGGGAGGTGGAGGTTACAGTGAGCTGAGATCAAGCCACTGTACTCCAGCCTGGATGACAGAGACCAGACTCCATCTCAAAAAAAAAAGAAGAAAAGAAAATGGGCCAGGCATAGTGGCTCATGTGGTGGCACACAGATTGCTTGAGGTCACAAATTCCAGACCAGTCTGGCCAACCTGGTGAAACTCCGTCTCTACTAAAAACACAAATTGACCAGGCATGGTGGCACATGTCTGTAATCCCAGCTACTCGGGAGGCTGAGGCAGGAGAATTGCTTGAGTCCAGAAGGTGGAGGTTGCAGTGAGCCAAGATCACGCCACTGCACTTCAGCCTTGGTGACAGAGGGAGATTCTATCTTAAAAAAAAGAAAGAAAGAAAGAAAGAAAGAAAGAAAAAGAAAGAAAGAAAGAAAGAAAAGGGACATTAGGTAAAATTTAAGGAAATCTGGGCTGGGTGCAGAGTGGCTCATGTCTGTAATCCCAGCACTTTGGGAGGCCGAGGCAAGTGGATCATTTTGAGGTCAGAAGTTGGAGACCAGCCTGGCCAACATGGTGAAACTCTGTCTCTACTAAAAGTACAAAAATTGACCAGGCATGGTGGTACATGCCTGCAATCCCAGCTACTTGGGAGGCTGAGGCAGGACAATCGCTTGAACCTGGTAAGGTTTCAATATTCATGTTCATGAATAGCTTGAACATGGCAGAGGTTGCAGTGAGCTGAGTTTATGCCACTGCACTACAGCCTGGGCAACAGAACCAAAAAAAATGTAAGGAAATCTGAATAAATCTGTTCAGTTCTTTTCTGGAGAACGCTACTGTGTTCTTCCCAGGGATGCTCCAGTGGGGGTGGGGTGGTGGGGGGTTAGTGTTAAAAGCCTGGAGGCCACACTAGATGGCTAGATCTCAACCTTCAGCTCTGCCAGTGTCTAGCTGTGGGACCTAGGCAATTCCTTAGCTTCTCCTTGCCTCCTGTCCTCAACGATAAAACCCTCAGAATTACTGGGAGGGTTACATGTGTTACTATAAATAGTAAGCACCTTATAAGTGGTTGCTATCATTATTATGAACATACAAACAAATATATTTACACAACAAATGTATTGAGAAAAAATCTAAAACCTGTAAATAAGGCAAAAAAAAAAAAAAGTTAGTGCCCTTTCAAAGATATTTTAAATCATTGGCCCACCTATGGGCCATCTAGGGGAAGTTAACTTTGTTTGACATGCTATTAGTATTTACTATCAGTAAGGACCCAGGCTCTCCAAAAGAACAGATTAACCTGTTAAAGACTGATAAGTGGCAAATTATTTTGGTCTAGTAGAAAAAAATGGGGCCGGGCGACGTGGCTCACGCTTGTAATCCCAGCACTTTAGGAGGCTGAGGCGGGCAGATCACAAGGTCAAGAGATTGAGACCATCTTGGCCAACGTGGTGAAACCCCATCTCTATTAAAAATACAAAAAAATTTGCCAGGCGTGGTGGCGTGTGCCTGTAATCCCAGCTATTTGGGAGGTTGAGGCAGGAGAATCACTTGAACCCAGGAGGTAGAGGTTGCAGTGAGCCGGGATCAAGCCACTGCTCTCCAGCCTGGCAACAGAGTGAGACTCCATTTCAAAAAAGAAAAAAAAATGGTTATGGTTTTATTTCCAGGTGTGAATGAACTTTTTTGTGTCTAACTTTGCAATCTTATTCTAGCATTCATTTTTTCACTGATTGTCAATGATGGCTTTTCCTTTCCTTTTGATCCGTCCTGCTGGTTCACTTATTAAGGACTTAAATAAATCTTGGTACTTACTATATATTTGTCTCAGTCATGTTTATCTTCGTGAACATTTTACTCGGACAAATAATAACACGCCATACACACTGTTCCACTCCTCAGCTACTTTTACCTTATACATCTTGAGGGCAGTTTTATATAAGAATATAAACAGCTTCCTTGGTCTTATTTTAGAGTGTGCTGTAGAGCATGCACTGTATAGGTGTACAGCAATTACATCCATAATCCATCTAGCCAGTCCCTTATTGATGGACACTTTGCTTGTTTCCACTCTTTCACTCTTGCAAACGATGCTGGAATGAATGGCCTTGTATATGGGTGGAGAGCAGATTTACTTAGGCAGAGGAGGATGGGGTGGCAGGAGGTGCTCCAGAGGGGAAAGAAGCCTGGGGAGGGGCCTGATAACCTGTTCCCAGCCTGTTCTAGTCCATCTTCTCCTACTTCTGGGCCATTCTGTCCTCCTCCTCCTGCTTCCTCCTCTCCATCCTGAGCTCCTGGTATCGCCAGAGAGGAAGGGCCAGGCTTTGATGTCGTGCAGGACTGGGCTTCGGCTGGCACTGGTCGGGGGATGAGGATGCCTTGGAGAGGAGGATCCTGAGGACTTGGGGCCTGGGGCTGGTGCTATCACGGGGCCGTAGCCACTGAGGGCACTTGCTCAATATGCCCTGAGGGCTCTGGTAGGGGACGAAGACCCAGGGGGACCTCTGGGGACTCCCTGGTGGGGACTGGGGGACCAGGGGAGGGGGCGGGGCAGTACCTAGCAGCTCTGGCACAGACTTGCTTCGGGTGCCTAGGGAAGGTGGGTGGTCCGGGCACAGAGTGTGGCAGGCAGTAGTGAGGAAAGGACTGGCCAGGCTGGTGGTGGCAGTCACAAGGTGGTCCAGAACACCCCCCTCCTGAGGGGACGGGGCAAAGGGGAGGCTCAAGGTAGCCTGCAGCCGCTCTAGGAGTGAAGGCGCACCCTGGGCCTGGGCCACGAGCCCGGGCAAGGCGGGCCACTCGGGCTGGTAGTGCTGGCTAAGCTGCTCCACCTGAGGCCGCCGCTGCAGATGCCGAATCCTCCACACCGTGTCGAAGCTGTCGGTCAGCACCGCCCATTCCAGAGCTGTCTTGCCCCGAACAGGGTCCACCGCTGTCAGGTCAGCACCTGGGAGGGGGCACAGGGGTGACATGGGTGGGATAGGAAGGGCAGATCCTTTCAGCTGCAAGACTGGTGTGGGTTACATTCAAAGCCACAGAGTCCCATCTTTGAATCTGGGAGGCCGGTATTGCAACCTGCTATTTAAGAAAGATGAAGACACTTAGGTCCAGAGAGGGGAGAAGACTCTGGAGAGACCTATTGTGGGGCTCCAGCTGTGGCAGAACAGGGATCTCCTGAATCCAAGGAGCTGAGCAGAGCAGTGGAGGCTGCCAGGGCAGGGGAGGCCTGAGCTGCACCCTCTGGGGCGGGCGGGTGGGGTGGGGGTGGTCTTCTGGTTCCCTCTCCTGGTTCTTCTCTTCTCACCATCTCCCTCGCCCATCTTGGGGATGTGAGAGGAGCAGTCACCCCGAGACAAAGGAAGGGGTGTAGAGCACCCTCCTTTTTCATTCATTCCTTTTTCACTCCAAACCCAGTGGGGTGGGGTGGGGAAGGAAAAAGTGGAGGCGGGGGTCCCCCAGAGTGACTAGCAGAGGGCAGCACCACTGCAGGGAAGGAGGGCCCCCAAACATCCCCATGGACAATGTGGACTTCACCCCACCTCCCCTTGAATAACCCCACAGAGCCACAGGCCTCAATGACACTTCCCTGGGTCCCCTGGAAGCCTGGCTTGTCACAGTTGGAGGTCATCCCAGGGAAAGCTAACACCCTCACGATACTGGTGAGGCCCAGAGAGGGAAGCCACTCAGGAGCATGGGCTGGTTCCAGATGCCAGCCTTTTGTCATGTTAGGTTTTCCAACTGGGTTAGGTTCCCCTCCCATGCTTTCCTTCCTGGGACCTCCACTCGCAATTTCTGAGCTATCAGTATCTAAACTTTGTTGATTGTATGAAGCCCAAAGCACGCTCTCTCCTCTCTGCAAACAATAACGGCAGGGTTGGAGGAGGGACTGGAGGCCACACAGCCTGGCCCAGGCCCCACATACCTGCCATGAGAAGGGCAGCCACACACTCACAGCGGTTCCGCATGGCAGCCTTCATTAACGCTGTGAGCCCCCGCTGGTCCCGGCGTTCCAGGTCCAGGCCCGCGTAGTAGTTGAGCAGGAGACTCACCAGAGGCATATGACCTGCACGGGGCATCAAGGGTAAGCTTGGTCCCGGGAAAGGGGGGATGAAGCTCCCAACCCGCCCTCCACCCAGCACAACAGAGCCTGGTGTAGAGCAAGGGTGGGGCTGAGGCCCTGACTGTGTCAAAAGGGGGGCTGTCAGAAGTGGGGTGCAGCAGCTTCGCACCTGCTTGGGCAGCCAACATGAGGGCCGTGTCCCCTCCTTTGTCCTGCTGGTTCACATCGAGGAAGGGACAGTGGCTAAGCAGGGCCACCACACTCTGGAAGCCATGGTAGCATGCGACCATGAGGCCTGTCTGAGGGAGGGGCAGCTCAGGTCCCCTGCTTTCCCCCAGGGGCTTCCCGGGGCCCCTCATGCCTTCTAAGCCCACATCTGTGCCACAGCCTGCCCCAACCCCTGTGAAGACCCACCGGCAACCATTCCCTTCCTCCTAAGGACTTCGGGGTGTGAGGTATTGCCCCTGAGCCCCTCTCAGGGAGCCAGGCCAGGACAGTGTGGTGGGGATGCAGAGATGCCCACAGCTGTCCTGGGACAACATACCCTCCCATTGCTGTCCACCTGGGTGGCCTCCTCTGGGGAGACCCCGCTATCTAGTATGGCTTGGAGCTGGGTGGGATCATTGTGCACACAGGCCCAGTACAGGGCCCCCAGTCTGCTGCCGGGGGCAGGAGTCTCTTTGCCCCGGCAGGGCAGTTCCTCAGACATGTCCAGCCTCTCCAGCTCAATGCCAGCTCTTTCTCTTCCAGACAAGAAGATGAGTCCCTCCTCTCACGCAGCTGGCATGTAAAACACAGAATGAAGAGGAGTAGTGAATGTCTCCCTGGGTCCTAGGGAGGGGAGCCGGCCGCTGCAAAGTGCGCAGCCCTCGCCCCAGGGAAAACATTTACCCTGGCGGGGGTCTGGCCCCATCCACCCTGAGAGAGGACAAGCGCTGAGCCAGCAGCCCTAGGCAGGGAGGGCTTAGGTGACTTTAGGTCAGCACCCCACTGAGACTCACGGAGAGAGGGTCGTCGTTTTTTCTCACGAGGGTTTCAGAGGGTCTGTATGAGGCAGTCAACGCGGGACACAGCCCGGGGCCAACAGCGTCCCCCAGGCTCCGCGGAGCACACTCACCCGGTCTCCGAGTGCCCCGGGGTGGACTATCCCTCCCCAGGACGCCACGCAGGTAACAGATGGCTGGACTTTCAGAAAGAGCTGCTGCAAACACCTCGGAGCTGAGCCGGATCAAGCCGCGGTAGGAAGGGATTTGGGGGGCGGGCGGAGTGGGTGCTCACGTCTCAGGAGGGGACCCAGACCCGCCCCAAGAGCCTCCGCGCGGGCGGGGCCTGAGCCGGGAGCTCCTCCCCGCCAGGGCGGGCTTCCAAAGACCACTCCTCCCCACCGAAGCGCCCACCCTCAGCCTTGGGGACAATGGCGGAGATACAGCCTGGTGGGGTCTCGACCCAGCTCTTTAGACCCAGCCCAAAGCCCCTCCTCATTGGGTGGAGAGCCACTTGATGAAGGGGTGGTGGTGGGAGAGGGTGTGAGTGAATGAATGCAGGTATCTCATTCAATAGGGTTGGTACTCTCAGAATAACTCGGGGGTGCGGTCTCCAGGAGTCACCTGAACTTATTTTCTTGAGGTTCTGGGGAAATAGAAACATAATTGTCAAATTATGAGTACAGAGCTGGGCGCTGTGGCTCACTCCTGTTGTCCCAGCAACTCAGGGGACTGAGGTGGAAGGATCGCTTGAGCCCGTAAGGTAGAGGCTGCAGTGAGCCGAGGTCAGACCACTGCATTCTACCCTGGGCAACAGGGCGAGACCCCCTTTAAAAAAAAGAAAAAACAAGAATACTTGTGGCTGGGCGCGGTGGCTCATGCCTGTAATCTCAGCCCTTTGGGATTCCAAGAAGGGTGGATCACTTGAGGTCAGGAGTTCAAGACCAGCCTGCTTAACATAGCTAACCCCTGTCTCTACTAAAAATACAAAAATTAACTGGGCTTGGTGGTGGGCGACTGTAATCCCAGCTACTCGGGAGGCTGAGGCAGGAGAATCACTTGAACACAGGAGGCAGAGGCTGCAGTGAACAGAGATCGCCCATTGCACTCCAGCCTGGGCGATAAGAGGGAAACTCCACCTCAAAAAAGAAAACAAACAAACACAATTGTGAGTACAGACATTATGTGTCTAGTGCAGGGGGGCAGTCAGGGCACAGAGTGCGGCAGGCAGTACTGAGGGAGGGATTGGCGCCAAATTATAACATATTAAATTTAATAGATTAGTTTCACGGTGATAAATATGAAATATTTAAATTAAATGATTTGTTAATATAATGATAAATTGTTATCAAAATATTCTTTAACATTTATATTACATATTAAGCTTGATGGATTGGTTTTGGACCTCAGATGTAGGAAATTGAGCCCACGATATTCCTCCATTGGTATCACTCCCACCATCAGACTGTACAACACCCCTCCCTTGTTTTGTTTGACTTTATTTAGTTTCTCACTTTCACCCTTAATCCCCACATCCCATTCTCCTCCACCCTTTACCAACTGGCTCTTGTACATCCTTGAAAACACATTTCATTGAAATATAGTATTTATTTGTGTATGTGTTTTTTCTTTTTAAAGGCAGGGTCTTACTCTGTCACCTGGGCTGGAGTGGGAGTGGCATGATCATAGCTTATTGCAGCCTCAAACTCCTGGGCTTAAGAGATTCTCCCACCTCAGCCTCCTGAGAAGCTCGTAGTGGTGTGCCACCACGCCTGCCTAATTTTTTTTATGTAGAGATGGTTGTCTCACTTTGTTGCCCAGGCTGGTCTTGAACTCCTGGCATCAAGTGATCCTCCTGTCTTGGCCTCCCAAATTACTGGGATTGCAGGCATGAGCCAGCATGCCCTGCTTGTATGTGTCATGTGTTTTTAATTAACACGTTATGAATTGTGCTACAGAACTTACTCTGTTAGTGTTTTCTTTTTCACTTAATACTGTTTTATGTTTGTTTGTTTGTTTGTTTTTGAGATGGAGTCTTGTTCCCATCGTGCAGGCTGGAATACAGTGGGGGATTTTCGGCTCACTGCAACCTCTGCTTACCAGATTCAAACGATTCTCCTTCTCAGCCTCCCGAGTAGCTGGGATTACAGGTGTGCACCACCATGCCTGGCTAACTTTTTTTGTATATTTAGTAGAGACTAGGTTTTGCCATGTTGGCCGGGCTGGTCTTGAACTCCTGACCTAAGGTGATCCACCCACTTCAGCCTCCCAAAATGCTAGGATTACAGGCGTGAGGCACCATGCCTGGCCAATACTGTTTGTTTTTTTTTCCAGAACATTTGAGTTCAAAATACTGTGTTTTTAAGATCCATCCTTGTTGCTTTATGTGTAGTGTATCAGTTGGGTGTGTGTTTGGTTGTAAGTAATCGAAAGCTGACCTCAGTGGTGTGTAGTCTATAATAGATGGACTGCTCAACATTAACCTAAAACTCCTTTCAGTGTTTCTTCTGTGATGCAGAAGCCAGAAAGTTAAAACAACACTTCCCAGATTCCCTTGAGCTATGCCTCTGTGGTTTGGGTTCTGCTCTTGTGCAAGATATAAATTTGGAACAGAGCTACATAGCATGGGACATCCGTTTTGCTGTCACAGGTCATGGCAACAGCAGCGAGGCTCTGGTGAGCAGTTTCCTGATTCATCAGCTTCCTGTAGTAGTGACTGTTGTTTTCTCAATCACAGGCAGAGGTCATGTGACTCTTGAATTGGGGTGGGGTAGGGGGATTGTTCCTGGACCTAAGCCTGCTTCTCCATCCCTTTCTGTTTAAACTAATCAGATTTATTTTTGTTGTCAGCAATTGAACCCTGACACATGTAGCTTAAACAAAGAGAAGCTTGTTATTTTATAAATAAGAGGTTCAGGAATAGGAAACGGTTGGTGTTGGTTAAGAAGCTTGATGATGGGGCCGGGCGCGGTGGCTCAAGCCTGTAATCCCAGCACTTTGGGAGGCCGAGGCGGGTGGATCACGAGGTCAAGAGATCGAGACCATCCTGGTCAACACGGTGAAGCCCCGTCTCTGCTAAAAATACAAAAAATTAGCTGGGCATGGTGGCGCGTGCCTGTAATCCCAGCTACTCAGGGGGCTGAGGCAGGAGAATTGCCTGAACCCAGGAGGCGAAGGTTGCGGTGAGCCGAGATCGCGCCATTGCACTCCAGCCTGGGTAACAAGAGCGAGACTCCGTCTCAAAAAAAAAAAAGAAACTTGATGATGGGCTGGGCGTGGTGGCTCACGCCTGTAATCCCAGCACTTTGGGAGGCCAAGGTGGGTGGATCATTTGAGGTCAGGAGTTCGAAACCAGCCTGTCCAACATGGCAAAACCCTGTCTCTATTTAAAAAAAAAAAATAGAAAGAAAAGGAAAAAAAAAGAAAAGAAACTCGATGATGTCAGGGCCTTCTCTGGGATTCTCTTGACTTTTCCTCCTAGGCACAAGATGGCTGCTAAACCTCTAGCCATCACAGCAAAATGTGGTAGATGCACACTATGGAATTCTATGCAGCAGTTAGAAAAAATCTAACAGATGATAAGCCAGACATCTCTTATTATCTAACACAATCCCTGTTAGATAATCACCTTTAAGTTAGGTGTAACCATGTAATGCAATTTTGGCCAATAAAATGCAAACGGGGCTGGGTGTGGTGGCTCATGCCTACAACTCCAGCACTTTGGGAGGCCAAGGTGGGCGGATCACCTGAGGTCAGGAGTTCAAGACCTGTCTGGTCAACATAGTAAAACCCTGTCTCTACTATAAATACAAAAAATTAGCCAGGCACAGTGGCGGGCACCTGTAATCCCAGCTACTTGGGAGGCTGAGGCAGGAGAATCACTTGAACCCAGGAGGCAGAGGCTGCAGTAAGTCGAGATCATGCCATTGCACTCCAGCCTAGGTGACAGTGTGAGAAGCTGTCTCAAAATAAATAAATAAATATAAAATGCAAACAGAAGTCTAATGAGTAGGGATTCTAGGAAAAGCTCATGCTATCTTGATAAAAGATGTAGGGGTCCCCGCGTGTGTGCACCTAATCTCAGCTGGTCCACCCGAGACCTCTTGAGCTCCAACCCTAGTCCCCCGCGCGACCCCTTATCTGCTCCGACAAGATGAGAGAAACAATCATGAACCAGGAAATACTTGCCAAACTGCAGGCACAAGTGCGCATTGGTGGGAAAGGAACTGCTCGCAGAAAGAAGAAGGTGGTTCATGGAACAGCCACAGCAGGTGATAAAAAACTTCAGTTCTCCTTAAAGAAGTTAGGGGTAAACAATATCTCTGGTATTGAAGAGGTGAATATGTTCACAAACCAAGGAACAGTGATCCACTTTAACAACCCTAAAGTTCAGGCATCTCTGGCAGTGAACACTTTCCCCATTACAGGCCATGCTGAGACAAAGCAGCAGACAGAAATGCTACCCAGCATCTGAAACCAGCTCGGGGCAGACAGTCTGACTAGTTTAAGGAGACTGGCTGAAGCTCTGCCCAAACAATCTGTGGATGGAAAAGCACCATTTGCTACTGGAGAGGAGGAGGATGATGAAGTTCCAGATCTTGTCGAGAATTTTAATGAGGCTTCCAAGAATGAGGCAAATTGAATTGAATCAACTTCTGAAGATAAAACTTGAAGAAGTTACTGGGAGCTGCTATTTTATATTATGACTGCTTTTTAAGACATTTTTGTTTATGGATCTGATAAAATCTAGATCTCTAATATTTTTAAGCCCAGGCCGCTTGGACACTCCAGCTCTTTTCAGTTTTTTGCTTATACACAATTCATTCTTTGCAGCTAATTAAGCCGAAGAAGCCTGGGAACCAAGTTTGAAACCAAGGTTAATAAAGTTCTTTGCCTAGTAAAAAAAAAAAGATGTGGAGTGCACCATTTTACTTCTTTCTTTCTTCCCTCTTCTTCCTGCTTATAGAATTCCATAGTGTACATCTACCTCGTTTAACCTATCCCTTCTTCCTGAGATAGATGCCTAGGTTGCTTCCAACTTCCTGTCACTACAAATAATGCCAAAGTGAACACTCTCATACAAATCTAGCTGTGGACACATCGGGGTCTCTGAGATCATGAGATCACAGGCACATACACACTTATTGAGTGGATACTCTCAGATTGCTCTCTGTTT